CTAAGTAAATTAATTCATGATATTATTGTGAATAAAGTAATTTACATATAACTTATATTCACGTGGAACCCTATTTTAAATTTTCAATCCTTAGCTATAAAAGTTGAACATTTTATAAATTTTTAATTACAAAATAATTAATGCATTTTAATATTTATAAATTTTGTCAAAATTCGAACTTTAAACGCTTATAAAAAAAATTGCGCCAATATGTATTTTTAATATTTTTCAACTGCTAATGTAACAATATATCAGGAGCCTTGCATTAAATTTTCACGCTTTTTTACCAAGCTTTTTTACAAATACATTTTTATTGATATTTATAGAAAAAAAAAACTAAAAAAATTGAAAACTGACAATGTCCGTAAACAGCTCAAAATAAGTCAAAATATTTGGAAAATGTTATGGTGTATAGGAAGTGCTAATACAAACATCCAGTAGAAATTTAATTTACCTACAGTCATTTGTTTAAGAGTTGCACCAAAAACCAAAATCGATTTTCTCGAAAACAGATTTTGTGTAAAAATGTCCATTTTTCTTTAATTTTTTTTTTTTCACTGCGCTTTTGAAAACTACTGGAAAAATTTTACTTTTGATTTATATTTGAATGAATTAGATTTAACATGGTCTAATCAAATATTATAATACAATGTTTATAGTTTTATGTAGACCATTAGTACTCAAATTTTGTGTCGCCACAAAAATTGTTTACTAATTATATTGTACGTGTTCAAAGTATAAATGTATGACATAATTATGGCGTTTTGACGTTATGGTAAAAACCGCAGATTACAAATAAGAAAAACAATTGTGCAAATACTACTAATTGTTACTTTTTAAAAAATACAATAATTGTTGAAGTGTGTTACCGTTTTATGGATATCAATTTGAGTGTCGTCGTAAAAAAGGTTGAAAAGCTCTGACGTAGAGTTTAGAGTTTAGACTACCAAAATACAATTTTATTAAAACCAATATGTGTATATTTCTAAACATTAATATTAAAATTGTTTTACTATAAAAGTTGGTCAGGATGCATCCTATTCCTATACCATGATAAAAGTATGTACTAAGTAGAGCTAGGAAAAATCAAACCTGTGATGTATTTTTGGTTTTTGGCCTAATGTGGTAGTATTTCATTACGTAAGACTTATAGGTATTGAAAAAATCAAATAAAGTAAGTACTTTCCAATAATTTGCCTATCTTTATATAGAATATTTTCAATTGATATGGATTACAGATAGGGCTACTGGTTTTCATTTTTAATACATTTCATAAGAGCGTTCACAGAAGAAAGTAAATAACACCATTTAAAACTCAACACTTATAGATATAATATCATAATTCTCACAAAGTTTAAAAGTTTTTATTTAATTATTTTGGTGTTTTTTTAATAAAATACTGAACAGCTCCAATTTTATAGAAACTATAATATAGCAGTTGAAAACATCTATAGCCTTAAAATAAACAATGGTTCGTTATGCACTGTGTACCACGCCTTTTAAATAATTGAGCAAAAGAATTTGTTTATTATTAATTTATGCTTGCCTTTATTGATTTTTTTTATTAGATTCAAAAAATTAATTAATGACATTTAAAAAATAGTCTTGGTAAATAAAATAACTAACATCGTTTAAATCTGTTTGTGGGTATAGGTTACTAATAAGTTAGTGACTAATAACACATTTTTATAATATTTTGAAAATATTACCTGTACAGTGTACAGTGTAACTATTATAATATATAGTTATTATTACTATCCTTAACTCTTATGATAATTTTTGTCGGATATGGCTTAATTATGCCAATGGTTAATGTTTTATTATGGTTAATACAATTTTTAATACTATAATATTTTTTTGTGTCTTAAAAATGTAATTCGCTCAACAATGGAACTACCTGTTTGAATAATTAGGATACATTGTTTGATGAAATTATGAATGATATTCAATGTTATATTAGATTACCTATAAATATTATATTTTAATATAATATTCACAAATTTGTACTATTTATATTATTTAAATATTATTCATTACATGGCTGGGGGATTTATAACTTATAAGGCACAACAATACTTTTATTAATCAAAAAGGTATTTATTATATTTTATTATTTATAATTGGTTTATATTGGTATATAGTTATCCATATTTAAATAATAAAGTTTAATCATAGGGAAAATAATATAATAGTAATATAGGTACTTAATACTTATATATTAATGAGTATAATAATGTAGCTTGTAAGCGAAAGGTTTGAAATCAATACAACAAAAGGAAAGTTAAATAATAAGATAGTATTGTACCTATTGAAATACAGTCGCTTAGATAGGTACCTATGTGGCTATGTCGTTATCTCAATTTGCTTAATTTAAATTTTATAAATTTATATTATATAATAATAATCATGAAAACATTACATCATATATTTTTTTTAAGCTTATAAGTTCGTAGCGATGTGTATTGTAGAATGCAGGCACAAATAACTTAAAATTAGTTCAAATATTTTTTAAATTTAAATTTCATGTATATATACTTATTTATTATCCCTAACAGTGCAGTGGCGTAGATATGATTTCAGTAAGGGGGGGATCAAAAATAGAAAACAACATAGCTAAATGGGAGGAGAAAATTGGGAAAATTTTTAAATTCAAACAAAACTTTTTACTAAGGTAATAAAAACCCAAGGGGGTCTGACCCCATGCCCCCCCCCTTGTCTACGCCACTGATTCCTAGTAAATAACATTATATAAACATTTATAATACATCAATTCATAGTGTTGAAAATCTTCATGTCCCAACATATAGGTACTATATTATGTTGAATTACAATAAATCTAAATTTTTTGTTACTTACATACAATTATTGATACAAATTTGAATTTTAAAATTTAAATGACTAAAAAAAAATTGCACATATTTTCTATATATAGTATAGTATATTTTTCTTTATTGGTAGATTAAATGTTGCTCACAGGTGGTGCCCTATTTGCCCCCCCCACCAAGACGCTTTTTATATTATTTTGCTAAATGCATATTATTTATTTTGAATTATATTATACCTTTATATTTGAATGATTTTAAAGTTGGTTAAAGACTTAGATTTATTTAACACTACCTTATTTAATTTGTCTAATATTTGATCTAATCTTCTCTTATCCTCTTCTATTTCTCTGCTTTCTATATCATATTTTCCCCCTTTTTATTTCTTCTACATACATTTATAACCACTAAACTCTCAATATAATTATTTATTCATATTATGCTGCTTTTATATAATACCTATCTTTAAATTTAAATCGTTATTTAATATTTGTATACATAAACTTTTTTTTTTTTCTTTTTTCTTTTGTTCTTTTCTCTATTTTGTTCTGTTTTATGTTATTTGTATTGTATTCACATTACCTACTTTTAAGTTGTAACTCATATTATGTGCACTTAACACAAACTGTCACTACAATATTTTTGTAATTGGAATTTATTTCCGTAAATAAATTATTATTATTATTATTATTATTACCCCCCCCCCCCTCAAAAAAAAAAAAAATGAGTCACAGCTAAACTACTGCTCAAAGGTGATATATTAATACAAATAAAGAAATCTAGCATTACTTCCCAGTCACCCTAAGGTAGAACCTCTTATCGGCGATAAGCATCTCCTAGTTGGGCCTCAATTTTTTTAGGTACAGAAGCACGAGCACGAAAATATCGCCTGTTGCGCTATGCATTTGTTCATGAAAATACGATGGAGTATTAAATATTATGATTATCATGGAGCAGTAATCAAAATAAAATGCTGATTGGTAGAAACTCGAAAAGGTTTATAAATATAATACTATTATGATCACATGCAACAGTAGGTACATGTTTTATATTATGAACATTTTCCAGATAACGCGATTAATGAAGTCAGTTCCTATTTCGTATTGGACCACTCTTATGGTCTTGCGTCGAGTCTAAATTCGTCGTCGTCGAAACCGTATATACCTACTAAATTATACCTACTACTTATATTTCCACATGAAAACATTCAGAACCCTACAGCGTCTCAACTAGTAATATATTGTTCAGTATTCTAGTGTCTGGGACCCAACTCTGATCTAAACAGATCGACGGATCTAAACAGCCTTCGAATATTAAATTGTATATTATTATTGTTTCGAATTCATTGACATCATGCGGGGTCTATAACACGACAATATTTAATTTATCAAACTTTTAATAACATGTTATATTATGTCGGAACATTTTATACATAAAGAATAATAAAAAAAAAGTATTCTTCAATACCCACATAATAATATTATAACCCTGGTAATAGTGGTAATACTAGTAGGTATATATTATTATAATATAGTTTTCACTACTTCACTGGGATTGACGTCCGTAAGTCCGTATATCATACACATGCAGAGTTTAAAGGCCGTATCCGCCGCCGCAGAGTGTGATGATGGTATAATAATATGATTATTATAACACGAGTGCCGTTGTCGTGCAGGTCACGCGGGGGAGGGGCGGGGTGGACTGTTAATTTAAATTTCAATCGTCATTCGTCCGGGATGATTTCATGCGGTTGGTGGTGGCGATGAGAAGCGTATCAGTACGTCATGTACATATGACATATCTACTACATAATATTATATTATAAACATATAGCGCCTGGTTCTGCAGTATATTGTCTGGGGCCTAGCTGTATAGTCGCGCGTATTTAACCTTGTCGTACATACATAATAATAATATTATACGTATTATAAACTATAATGGTGGTCGGTGCCAGCCGATGCGGTTTCGACGACGACGACGACGATAGTAATAATAACACGTCACCGGGAATAAAATAATATCATACACGCGCAGTGGCGTCAAAAATCTCCAGCAGCGGTCTTGTTGACGCGTCACGCCGTTATATTATATACGTTACGCATTATACGGCGTTATCGCCGGTCTCCAGCATCCGGACGCGGCGGCGGCGGATCGTGCGAGCCGGCGCGCGCGTCACCGTTACAGCCGCCGTCGTCGTTCGCCAGCATCCGGCGAGCCCCCGTACAACGGGCGACAGCAACACGCGCCGCGGTGCGCGGGCGACGTGGTGCCGTGGCTCTCGCGGTGTGGCGGCCGTTGCGACTTGCGACTAAGGTCGTGCGGCGAGGCGGTTTTTTGACCGGCGGGTGGGTGGAAGTGGCGGCGGCGGCAGACACGTAGCCCACCGCCGCCGCCCCACCTAGCCACCACGGGCACGGCGCGCCGCCGAGTGCCGCGAGTACCACAGTACCACCGGTCGGCAGTCGTTCGCATACCGTCGTCGTCAGTTCGCTGTTGTCGTTGTTCGCCAATCCGTTCGGTCGACGGTCGTTCGGTTTCGTTATATCGTAACACACACACTCTCATACGTCCGCGGGTCGACGACGCCAGTGCCTTTTACCCGCCGGCCGCCGCCGATATTTAAAATAATAATAATAATAATAATTTTACCGCGAGTACCACCTACAACCGTACCACGGCCGGCGTGTTCCGTTATCGTCGGGTGTCCAGTCCTCGGCGTGCGTGCGGTGTTGAGCGCGTGGTGGCATTGTGTGTTGTTTGTCCGTGGCCGTGTCACGTTACTCATTTACTACTTTGTTACTATAAATTATTATTGTTGAGTATTATATGGGTCGGTTTTTATTTGAATTTTTTTTTTTCACTTCGTTTCCATCAGGTCGGCGATAAGGATATAAGAGAGAGTGAGTGTGAGTATGGTGAGAGAGTGAGTGACGGCAGCGAGACAGAATAATATTAATAATTAAAAAAAACAAATTATACGTTCGGATTTTGTTCGTATACCACCGCAGACATAGGCGCCGTGCGATGACGGTACTGACGTGGGAAACGTCGTGGTCATCGTGGACGTCGTGGTCATCGATGTCGATGTCGATGTCGATGCTGCCACCAACGCCACTGCAGTCGCAGTCACCTCTGGTGCCGTCACCGGCCAGACGACCGGTTTGAACCAGTTTGACGGCGCGTGAAAACTAAAATTGTTGTTACAGTCGCCCGGCCGTCAAGTTCGGCATCGAGCACGCGAGATGGCTCCTTTGGACGTGCCCCGGGCACTGCTGGACGGCGAAAAAGTGGTGAAATGGGACGACGTGAGTACATCGTTTAAAACGCAGCATAAAGTTAATAAAATTAGTACCTGCTAAAATTATTAACCGCTTTATGATAATGCGTAGGTATAATACTGCGGTCTGCGATGACGCTGGTCGCGGGAAGGAGTTATTGTACCTATATTATTATAATAATAACGTGTGTAAATAATATAATATACACAATATGTCAATATATAGACCGATTGACGTCATCTTTATACAATAATATTATTGTAATAGTAGTAATGAATGATAATAATATATTATGTCTATTATAATTTTATCACGAACCGAAGCCCGTTATTGATAACGTAACGGTAGTGTGCGAGCAACAAGTAGTGCCTTCATGTTAGCACGATATTATACAGATACAGAGTTATTACTTGTTACTACAACGTGGTAGCAGACAGTAGTAGTATAATAGTATTAACGTTATTATTATTAATTGAGTAAACCGCAATAGTGGTAATAATATGGTGATTAAACTTTTCAGTCATAAGAGAGATGGGTAACTCGTGTTATATATCTACCTATATATAGACCAAACGTAGTACTTATATACTTGGTATTATAATGTATACTACATTAATGCATTATACTATACATATAGTGTAAATCCGTTGTTAATGTATATAATGTTTATATATTAATAATGTAGTGTTTTCCGAACGCGAAATTATTTACGTAATGGTTACGAGATGATAATAGGATATTCGAGAGAATAGAAAGTATATCGAAACATGTTACGATGTTATTATTATTATTATTACTACTATTATTGTATATACCACACCGACACCGCTGATGACATTTATAGTTCTATAGGTCATATTGGTACGGTGAAAAATGATTACAATAATTTCACACGAATATACGATTAAAAAAGTCGACTCGTGAAAGTGAGTGGGCGTAGGAGCAACTTACTGTTTTCACGAAAAAAGTGTTTTTGAAATGAAAAGTATGTAAGTAAGCTCGAGAAAAATACTTACGTACATACTTTGTACATATTATAATGTTTAAATATATAACAACATGATATAATAGGTAAAATGAATACAAAATAAATAATATAATTGTGTACCTATATGCTGTTTAGCTTACTGTTTAAACATATAAGCCTTCGTATTTCTTTGATGTTGTGTTAACAATTTTATATAGAATGCGCATAATGTAATATTATTATTTTAGTCTGTCGTAACGTATTATAATAATAATAATTGTAATATGAAAAATAAATACTTAACAACGTGCCCGTGGTAATGGCCGGAGACAGTATTTAAATATATGTTTACACTTAAATATTTTCGAAAAGCTTTTTAAACACTCTGTTTTACTTAAAGTTGACGTGGTGTCCGACATTATGTTTTACTATATCAAATTCGAGGATTATAATATTATATATCAGATTTAGTTAGGTATTAGTACAAAGGCTTACATAGGATTTTTAAGGGGGCGGGTACAATTTTAAAACTCGATAAACAAACAAAAAATATACTCAAAACATAAAATCCAATTAAAATAATGTCAATGAGCAAGTTAAACCAAAAGATCCTATCTCAGTACCTAAAAATATTTTTAAAACGTTTCCTTTGTTTGTTTTTTTGTTTTTGATAATGAATTCTATCATTAAATTAAAATGGCCTTGACTAATACATGTACTTTTAACTTTTAACCGGAACTTATAACAACATTCTTTAATTCCAGAATACTATTACATTTGTTCTAAATATATTTAATTTTTACTATTTTTTAGACGAATTTAAGTTTGTTTTAAATATAATATTTTAGTATTTACTAAAAAGTTTTCTGTAAACAATTAAGTAACTATTAATTTTCACCCTAAACAAATATATTATCATATTCACATAGGTAATAAAGTTTTAAATATGTTTGTAAACTTAGAGATTTATATCCTAAAATAACGCTGTACCTATTATATCGTATAATAGATTATGTTTGAAATTTATGAAGTTGTTATTATATATTATATCCGGGATTATAATATCCTTATTATATATATTTTATGCGAAATAGGTTCAACAATAATGTGTTTTTTGTATAATTCCAGAGATAAATTTTAAATTTCAACGCCTCAGAAAGTCAGAACAGTCGGAACTAATATTTTGTCCAATCATAATAATTATGAATGTATAACATGTACCTATGACATGTATTTTTGACAATAAAATTAATTTCAATTAAATTTTATAATTAAATAGGAAAAGAAATGTATCACAAAAACAAGTAAACAATATTTTATTATCCTTGTTATCGAGGAACATGATCGTAGCAATAAAGTAGCCCCAGGACACTGAGCTAAAAATCACATGAAAAAAAAAGTCCGTCGTTCCACAATTTGAGAATAGTAACGAGATTAACTCTGAAATTAATAATATAAAAATGTTCTAACAAGATTTCAAACTTGCAACAAATAAATGATATTAACTTAAATACAATGCCCACTATACGTCACTGGTCCCTGTGTATAATATACTTAGAGGTACAGAATCATTTAAGCACAAACCTTTTATACTTATAATTTATATTTAAACCATGGTTTCATTAAAATACAGATATTTCAAAATGTTTATGTACCTATATCTATATCATTAAATTTTGTTTGTTTGTTTTAGTCTTGACATTTATTGAGTACTTGTCCATTTTATCAAAGTTTTATGCGGATTTTATACTACATAATGTTAAACTACAGTCAGTTTTAAATAACAGTCGTAGAAGCGTGTTATACTTAGAGATAAGGAGTTTGGTAAATTTACAGACTTTTTTCACCATTCGTAAGAGTGACCCTCCATTTTAATTATTACCATGTGCATTAGAAAATTATTTAGATAATACTTGGTTCACAAATAAAATTTTTCGTGAATACATAGTGTCACATGTTTTAATGGTTAATGCTCAGGTATACGATTACATTATTTACTTGATTCAATATTGATATCCTATCGTTATTAAGTGAAAAATAATTTTGAGTTTATAATATATATTTTATTGAACAAAAACGTTGTACACTTGTACCTACCTAAAAATAATACGTATATTTAAGTAAATATAGTTTTGTTGTACTAAAAGCGATGAGGACCAAAATATATATATTATATATTATTATGTACGTATATACAAGTCTCGTTTTGCCGGAATGTCGTCGCACTGCAGTACTAACAACACTTACTGCTTTTACAATATTACGTACTACAGGTACTATTACACTATCGCCGTATTTCCCACGTAAACCGTGTGGTTACACGTTATCATAATATTATATATGAAATAGATAACAAAAAATACGAATATACTTCACCGTGTAGTTAGGTGGATACTATAATATTGTGTAGTTACCGCATGTGTTGTCTCCGTCTTACGTATATACATCATAGTAAATTTTACGTTCACAATAATCCATTTTATTCTGTTTTTTTTTTAATTAGAGTGAATTGATCTATCATAAAATTGAATGGTAAGATATTATTATCTAAGGCACTTCGAAGTATTTTATCGATGTATTTTAATTTTGATACATATTATGAACATTTATTAGTTACCAGCTAATACTATTTACAAAAAAAAGGCAGGTAAGTGGATGTCGCTCAGCTGTACAGTAGGTTACAAGTTGGTCATTGTTTAATGGATTGTATTAAACTTGAATTCAATGATATAATATCATTGTATAAGAAAAACGATTCTGAACGGAGACGGTTTGTCAGTCTGTATATTTTATATTGTCATTAATTATTTTATTTATTTAATTATTATTTTTTTTATTCGTTGCTACGGTGATAAACAAATTGTTAGAAATTAAAATCTTGGTCCAATTTGCTAAAAGATAAGGTACTATATGTTGAAATCAAAGCACTCCTTCTGGTAGAAATTTTGTATACAGGATATAAAAAAAAATAAAAAAAAAATAAAAAATAAATACCATTGTAAAACCACTAGCTTCCTTGCTCCGCTCAGAATCTAAAATAAAGTTTTAAAATCATCATATAATACTTGCTTCATAAATAAAAGTCCCCTTGGTACCCAATATAATAATCTTAGGTACATTTACATTTTATAATAGGTTAATTTATTCTAATTTTAAAAATAACAGAGTAAAATGAATTATGAACTTAAAATGATCTATGTTGTTCGTATGTGGGTGTGGCTTCCTCTTAACTAAGTACTAGTGAAATAGTTTTGCCCAAACAATTTTATTTAATTTAATGAATAACAAGACAATTCTGAACACTTACCACATGGCTTACACAAATTTGGTTTTGGTGACCGTGGCGACGTGGCCTAAAGTGGACATCACACTGGCATGTCTTGTCTCCGTCTTACAAATCAGAGTGGACAGAATTTTCGTTCAGCAGAACCAATTTTGTGTTGTTAGCTTTAATATTAAAGTAGATTGACTTATAATTATTAAACAATAATAAGGAAAGAACCTTGGTGAGAACATTATATTTATCTGTATTCTCTCGTTAGTTTTTTACAATATTTAAATTTTAGAGTGAGTTATGAGGAATTTTAAATATTAATATTTTGCATATTACAATTACCAGTTTATACAAATTAAAATACTGTAAAAAACCAACGAGAGAGCAGAGTTATTGGTATCTAATGTTGTTACCTTTAAGTTTGACAATCATTTAATATTTAAGCTATTAACACAAGATTGGGATTGACGAACCTGCATTTTGGTATCATGCTTTAGTAAGACTGAGAAAACACATGTGAGTACGACGTCCTCTTAAGTCATAGCAAAACGCCGTCGTCACTCGTCATTTATCCTTTTTCTCAGTGTCTGTCGGTACACTGGATCAAGCCGTTTTTGCTTCGTCGTCGTCCGCGATTGCGTACTGTCATATTGTAGTGGTGTACACTACCAGTACGACGAAATTCCCGCAAAACGAGTGGTTTATGTATCTCACGATTATTTCCGGTCCGATGTAATGCATCGCCCATTTCCCGAGGATTACGTGACATATTGTGCAAAGGTGAGA